ATATATATATATATATATATATAATAATAATAATAATAATAATAATAATAATTTATTTTTTGAGATTTTTTTAAAGTATAATAAGTGGATCTTTTTGAATTTCTTAAAACAAATTTAAAATGTATATTATTTTTTTTATAAACGAAACTATATATATTACTATGAATATGAAAATTTATAATAAGGCAGGTAGAAAATATGACTGGACTCAAAAAAATTGAGCTCTAGAGGATTTAAGCATACAACTATAATCATGCTATTATTTAGAAAAAAATAATATCAAAATATGAAATCAAATATCATAGATCAAAAAAATTAAATATGGAATATCCTTATTTGATTTCTATGATACTTCAATTTCCAAAACATAAGAATATCAAGCTACAAGAAATCTAGATTATTATTCTTCTCTCTTTTATGAGACCATTATAAACAATAAAATATGGCTTATATGAAGATGAAAATAATATGTAATCTCATGTATGTTATATAGTATATTATTATATCGAGTCACTTAGATATTTGTTATAAATGAGAGTAGAGAGGATAAGATAAGTAAATAGGAGAGTCATTATCGTCTCTTAAGAAATTATATTATAAATATAATTTTATTTTATTAACCTATTATCATAAAATAGAATTAAATTAAAACTATAATATATCTTATCTAATTAAACAAGAATATATATAATATAATTATAATCCATCGTCTCCACTATTTTATCTCTTCATTTGACAATAAAACCACCTTACAAAAAATATAAGAAGCATTTTATTAATTATCACACTCGAAGTTAAGATACTCATCGTCATATTGGGAGTAGAAATAAAATCACGATTAATCCCCTAAACTCTTTCACAACTAATATTGTAAGAAATGTAAAAATTGAGGCTTTACTGTAAATCGAAAAAGTGTTGGATCAACAATTATAATATTTAGCCTCATTTCTATTGTTCCAAACACAAAATCATAACAAGTTAATAAGACAATGGATCCTCGGACTCTTTACCTTCAACCAATCCCTTTCCAAGATTTTTTTTAGAGTTTATATGTGATCTTTTACTAATAACTGCTTACATATTAAATTATCTTAGATCTTATTAAGATTAATTGATCAATTTTCTTTTAACAAATGTATTTCTTAAAAGTCCGATAGTTAATTTTTTTTAGAATTGATATTTAAAATTTGTGATTTTTTTCTGAACTTAATTAGATATACAAACTATAAGAATTTTGGTTTAATATTTTATGTAGTAGTCTAATTATTGGCTTTTGTGGGAAAGAAAATTAAATATGAAAAATACATCTAAAAATTTAAATAAGTAAAATTATGAGAAGTTGAACCCACTTTATCAAATATTAATAATTAAAACATATTGGTCTGTGAAAGTACAATCCCATACTTAAAGATCATCTAAACTTTTACATTTATATTCATAATGTATAAGAGTCCAATTGTTAGATTTAAAAAAAAAATAAATGCTATTTTAAAATAGATTATAGTAAGATTAGTCATCTAAAATTTTGTAAAAATTGATTAAATTTCAAATATAGGATTCTTTTAAAGGATTTAAAATTATATTTCCATTTAAATTTTGATTAATCAATCAGAATGTGTAAAAATTGGTCTGCAATTTCATAAGCTCCAATTATTTGATTTCTGGAAAATAATTAGCCATTCAAATTGTTTGTTTTTTTTTTTCTTCTATAATTAATTTCTTTTTTATCCTAATTATTGTGATTCTGATATCGGAGATTTACTTAATTCAGATTCCTTCCTAAACTCGAATGCAGTCCAATCGAATTGATCGGTGAGACAAATCGGATTCGAACATATCGATACGGTGGAACGTTGAGATGCGAGAATAGTACGTAGGGTTGGGCTTAAAAGGACAGCGCCTCGGTTTCAAGCGATCGCCGTGACTCCATCACGCCGAAACGAGACGATGGCGGCAGAAAGGACAGGAAGGCACGTCGCTGTAGCAAATTGCATCGGGAGGAGGCTCCAAAATGGTTGCTCACACTCGTCGCCCTCTCGTCCCGCGAGCACAACGCGTGTGTGCATGCCTCGCGTTGCGCCAACCCTGCCATCGCCCCGATGCGAGCTGATCACTCCTTCTCTGTCTCTATGTGTTTCTTCCTCTCTGCTCATCTCTCCCTTCCACTGTTCTTATCTCCTCAACAAGGTCGCCTACAAGGGCTCCGCTCCTACCCCCATCGTCTGCTCTCTCTCTCCCTCTCTCTCGTCTGATCGATGGATCTCTTGAACGCCATCCTGAACCTTGTGGTGCCACCGGCCGGCATGGTGATGCTGGCCTTTGCATGGCCGACGCTCTCCTTCCTCCATGCTCTGGAGTGGTTCTTCAAGACCTTGTACAGAGAGAACATGGATAACAAGGTGGTCCTCATCACCGGGGCTTCCTCGGCCATCGGAGAGGTACTCTCGATGATCCCCTATCACTGTCTTTCATGGTTCTTCACCCTTGCATCTCCAGTATTGTATGTATTCAGTTCATAACAGAGTTTAACTTTCGTGTAGCAATCTTATAGAACGATCAGATATATAGGAAAGGCAACAATGGGTGATATTTTAATGATGAAATCAATCAAGTTCTGCTTAGCACCTTCTGCTGTTAAATTATTTCAGGTTTTCATGAGCTAATTGTCACCCGCATGAAACGTAGCTACTTGCTAAGTCTCCTCAATGATAATAATGCGAATTAAATAAAGTTAAGTTCTTCATGATTGTTAGCTAGAGCTGGTTCTCTGTTATGTGAGCAAGATCCCCCATCGCAAATTTAATGAAAAGTAGACTGCTGGTAAGAATTATACTAAACAGTAAGCATCCCCGGGAACAAATCGTGTAGAGGAAGATTTAGGATGCTGATCTTGTATCAACCTCTGACCACTGTGGAGGTAATGCAGGTTAAAAGGTGAGCCTTCTTATACCTGGTAAGCTTATGATGAATGCTAAAAGTAAATGTGAAGAGGTGCTAAGATGAATGAAAAACCACATACTAGAAATTTTGATAGCATTGTGTATGACAAGGTTAAGTTTGAACTTAAGTTAATGCTACTCCAATGCTGTCAGTTTGAACTTTTGATGGCGAATGTTGTCTTCATCCCCTTTGTTATGGATTCTTATCTGGGCTGAAGGAGTATTAGAGCATGACTCCTTATCTGCATGAGTTTTAGAAGCCATTTTTCTCTATCCATTTCTAGCTATTAGGATTTTAGACAGTATTATTTCTTGACTGAATCTGCTTCGACTAGGTATCTTTAAAAGTTGGGATCAAATGTTCAAGAATTGATCAAGTTAGTTAATTTTTGTGTGTAGGTTTTTGATGATCAACTCTATATTGATTAGGGAAAACCCAGAAGAACTTGGTCTGAAGCTGGATTGAATGTATGTTGATTAGGTGATGCCAATAAGTAATGATGGTACATACAAGTATGACATAAAGCTCCACAAATTTTTTGCCTAATGACCATGTCAATGTTCTTATGATACCCTCTATGTTGTTAGCATAAACTGAACCAATAATTTCAATTTAGTTTCCTTCTAGTGAAGCTCGGGGTTCTTTTTGTTTCAAATTGGATATAAAAACAATTTAAAAGTTAGGTATGCTAGTTTTGTCTTCGTGTTATAAAGCAAATGTTCAATATAAAGATAAATTCTGAGGAAAAAATTATTGTTCTAAAAATGAGTAGTCTTGTCATTCGCATGAAACTATATCTCCCTACTTCTAGCAATTTAATTAGTTGAATATTTCAAACACTTGTCATAGCCAGCTTCTAATTAAATCGTATGATCTAAACCTTCAAATGCTCATAACTAATAATGAGTGCAGCAATTAGCTTATGAATATGCAAGAAGGAAAGCAAATTTGGTTTTGGTCGCAAGGAGGGAGCATCGGCTTTGGGGTATCAGGGAGAATGCTAGACTCCTGGGTGCCAAGCATGTCCTTGTGATGGCTTCCGATGTTGTCAAGGAAGAGGAGTGCAGAAGATTCATAAGTGATACTATAAACTATTTTGGCCATTGTAAGTTTCTACACTTTGTTCTCTCACTAGATATTTCAGATGGTAGGTTCGGTAGTTGATTGAGGATACTATACAGGATTACATCTTTCTTGAAATTGAGATTTTTTTTTTCTGAATATTATAAATACAGTGCATCATCTTGTGAATGCTGCAAGCCTGGGGCATAACTTCTACTTTGAAGAGGCCACAGATTCTTCGGTGTTTCCACATATGATGGTATGACCACCTACAACCTGTTTTCTGCATTTATCTTATATAGCCATATTAATTAAGAATACTAATTTGACTAAGATCAGATAAGCTGGTTCCTTTTACTCCAGAGGAAGAAGAGTCCTGCATCTTTAGCATAAGAGTTACTACTAATTGAATTTTGCCGAGTTATATTAGTTATCTGATAATTGGAGAAATCCATGAACCAAATCTATATGTATAAATTAATAGGTAGCAGAATGCAATGCTAAACACATAGTTATCAATGTTTTGACATAATTAGTGTAGCACTAGTGTGATGAGTTAGATCCTGAGCCACTATATCGGAAAGTCCTTATGAGCTCACATCCTATTTACTATTTTTGATGTTATGTATCAGGACATCAATTTCTGGGGGAATGTTTATCCGACTTATGTTGCCCTTCCATACTTGAGGCAGACTCGTGGTCGAATCCTTGTTAACGCATCCATGGAAAGCTGGCTTCCTATGCCAAGGATGAGCCTCTATGCAGTGAGTAGCAAAAAAATTCTTGTTTGATATGTCTATTTTTCTTGAGGAATAGATTTATACTAGAATGGTGACTAGATGGACTTTCTAAAACATGTTTCCTTATTCATTGCTTTATAGGCAGCAAAGGCAGCTGTGATAAGTTTCTACGAGACGTTGAGATTTGAAGTCAAAGATGATGTAGGGATCACAATTGCAACCCATGGGTGGACAGGGAGTGATATTAGCAGAGGAAAGTTTATGCTTGAAGAAGGGTCAGAGATGCAATGGAAGGAAGAAAGAGAGGTATGTCACCTTCAAATGAGCATTTGCATGTTCCTGTTGGTTTTCCCTTTTTTTGGCTTTTGATCATTCCACAGTGACAAATAGTTACATATTTTTGTGTCAACCATAATCTCATTAAAAGGTTCAGTTTATTTCCTCAGCCTTTGAACAAATTCACTGAATCATATTTCGTGTTGTATGCAGCTCTTTTTTCCATCCTAAAAAAGTGGCTCCATATTGTCTAACCTTATCCGTCCCAATTTGGCCTAATGATAAGTACTATAACTTAAATTTTCAGATTTAACTCAAAGGATTCTGCCTTCTTTTTCTTCCTTTAGGTGCCTCTCACAGGAGGGCATGTCGAGGAGTTCGCAAAGCTGATGGTTGCTGGGGCTTGTCGAGGTGACACATACCTTAAGCATCCAAGGTGGTATGACATCTTCATGCTCTACCGAGTTTTTGCACCGGATGTACTCGGTTGGACATTCCGACTGCTACTATCGGACCACAGAGTTAAGCCGACAATTGGACGACCGCTGCTGGAGGCCTCGCCTCCTCGCAAGCTATCAGCCTTCTCCCCTGGCTCTCCCCGGCTTCAACACATAGTCGAATAAAGCTTTTTAAGCTTCTAGGATTGCAGTCTCCTCTTTAAGTTTCCTGGGTGAGAGTTGTTTCTTGATCAATAATAGCTTCAAGTGATGTTTTAGAGAGTTGTTTCCTTCCTCTTTCACAAGACTTGCATGCAGCCAATAAGTGTTCTGTATTGGAAATGTATTCTGTGATTTGACAGACTAGTTTAGATTCAACCTGGCTTCTTTTATGTTGAATCTTCTTGTCAATGTGCTTCTCTGTTGACGTTTTGGTGTTGTTAGAACTCCTTTGTAATGTCTTCCGTCCTACATGGAGAGAGAGAGAGAGGGAGTATATGTATACATATATGTATATAGTGTGTCAGGGGTGACGTGCCTTTCACTTACCACGGTTTCAGGGGCGAACTGGTTTTCATGGGCCTGATTCGTGGGGTCGACACAGACTGTAGGTGTTCAGGTGGGAACCTGGACGATTTTTAGGGGTGGACGTGGTGTTTCACGGGTGGCACGTTTTCGTGGTATAAGGGGGTAGTTTTCAGGTGTCATCGGTGACGTGGGTTTCACGGAAATGATGTGTGGGTTCCACGTATCAGCCTCTATGGGTACCTGGATGGTTTTCACGGGTAACACAGTCCATCGGGATGGCATCGGCAGCTATTACCCAATGAGTCCGTGGGTAACGTGACGATGGGGTCCACACGCTGACCACGCCATGAGTGGTGTGTGTAGGATATGATTTTCTTTTTCTTTTTATTTTATTTTTCGTTGTATGATTATGAATTTTAGTTGTTTTACTTTTACAGCTGGAAATTTGCTATTATCAACTGAACTCGAGATGGCGCGGCCTCCTGATAACGGTCGATTTAATTTTCTTTTCCTCTTTAATCTCCCTCCCTCTCGCTGTTCTTCCAAATTCCGAACGGTCGTTCAAACCTAACCTTATACTCTTCTCTTCGAGTATCCCCCTCTCGGTCGATTCCTCACTTAGGTTCGAAGTCGTTTCCTGCTCGCGTAATCCCCCGGTGAGTTCTCTTCCCCGACGTATCTTCCTTCCCCCTCTCGGCCGATTCCTCACTTAGGTTCGAAGTCGTTTCCTGCTCGCGTAATCCCCCGGTGAGTTCTCTTCCCCGACGTATCTTCCTTCTGATCTCCGCTTCTTTGTATTCTTTTGTTGCTTTTACTCATTTGATCGGTTTCGGATTTTTTCCTGTGGAATCGAAGGGACGGATTGCGATTATGACCGATTCCGTCGTTCTTGATTGGAGAGGATGACGCGTAAAGTTCCTTGCCCTTTTCTTCGAGTGATTTTAGGGTTGCTTGTTTTCTATTTTATTCTTAAGGGTTTCAGCTCGTGTTTTACTTGGAGAATGGGCAAAGTATTTTGGTTTCTGCTTGCTGATTTGTTAGACTTTCGATGATATTTGGTAAGGATGTGTAGCCTCGCTGTGTTCGCTTATCAAAAATTTCTTCTTTTGCAAACTGGTTAACCTTCAGTTTGTTGAATATCTTCGTTACAAGAAAGACCCCTCTATGTCCTTTAATTAGTTAGTTGTGATAAATACAGGTAATGCTTGTCGTGATCCAGCTTCATGCTTTCGAAAGCAGTCTAAGATCACTGTAATGACGAATTTTGATGAGAGTCGTGTTAGAAAAAGTGGGGATGTGACAACGTCTTATTCCTCAGGTGCTGCTAGTTCTAATCCTGTTGAGGGGAGTTCCCCTGACTTGTTGAAGAACACTCCATCCAACATCGCCACATTGGAGGATGCTATTGAGCAGTTCAAGAGTCGGCAGAAGTATCTCGCGCATACAAAGAGCCCTTCTGATGGGGAAGATGTTCGTTGGTATCTATGCAAAGTGCCTCTGGCAGAAAAGCGTGAGTTGACAAACATGGAACAGTTGCATTAATGAATTTTTTGATTGTATAAGGATTTTATCTCCTTTTCCAATTTCTCCCCAGCTTGTGGAATTTTGGTTCGATTAAAGGATGCAATTTAGGCAAATTTAAGGTTCATGGGTCAAATTTCAATAAAAAAATCTGACTTAAAAACAATGTGGAAGCAACATTTGAATATTCTGATGGCATAAATGGCAATATCTTTATTTTGTAGTTTAATTTTGCATGAGTAATATTTAAATCACATGCTGGATCATGGCATGGAGAAGACATTGCAATCTTTGTGCAAATTTCTCTTAAGGGGTTTATTTTTTTGTTTTGTAGAGCTTTCAGCTTCACTTCCTCGAATTGAGATAATTGGCAAAGATGATTATTTTCGGTTCAGCGTGAGAGACTCTCTTGCTCTTGAGGCCTCTTTCTTGCAAGTTAGTATTACAAAGTCACATTAATAGCTCAACTAAACTTTCCTGTCCTAATACTACTCTATTAACATAACTTATGTCTTTTATATTTCTTTAAACTTGGATTATGCTGTTATGGATCTGAGAGTCATTTATTGTTATATTTAAGTTAAAAATTTGTTGGGTTTCTCACTAATAGTACTATCTGCAGCTCATTTTGTCAAGATAGGATTGTGAAAGCACCAAGAATATTGACGAGTGGAACTAAGAGAAAGAAAGTACAAGTACTTTGACTGTTGGTTGTTGGAATTTATTCTAGATTTGACCTCATTTTGTCAAGTAATCTACTTTAGCCCATCTTTTTACTGGTTGGACTATGCACCAAGAATATGGTTAAAGAGTGGGATGAGGAGAAAGAAAATAGACAAATATTTTGGTACACTGGTTGTTGGAATTAATTTTGGATTTGATCAATTTTGACCAATACTCCACTGAGGCTTACACTTAAGAAAAAGAAATTGAAAATGTCTAGTGAAGCCATGAGATTTGCTCAATGTTCCAACAAGAACTTAATATGACAAGTGATAGAATTTTTACAGGGGTGATATATGAAATCTGATGTATGATAGAATAATATGGACCAAGGATATACATATATATATATATATATATATATATATATATATATATGTAAATATATATGTATGTATGTATGTATATAGGTATATGTATATATATATGTATGTATATATGTATATGTATATATATATGTATGTATATATGTATATGTATATATATATATGTATATATATGTGTATGTATGTATATATATATATATACATA